TCATATGAGAAGTACTCTTGTCCTTATTTAGAGATATTGAAACTAATTCAGAGCCATAAACTACATGTAGATCTGTACATGAAGTACATGGGAAGTAAAGTTGTTGACACAGGTAATGTACACCAAGGATCATTGCAGTTTCTCAGTTCCTCATCTGGTGCTAGTACTTGTATGACAAACGGTATCTTTGCCCTGTTACTGACTAAAATATCAGAAGATTTCGCTGGAATAGTTCTGTGATTGACAGTGTTCTTGTATTAGGAATACAGTTGTACAAGGAAGTTTATCCAAACAGACACAACACTAACTCTTCAACATATTTGCAGATGTGATTTGCATACTTACATGTCATTTTACCTGTTGTACTTGTTTGTTGCTCTCTGGTGTTCTTGCTGAGACCAGAATGGAGAGTGCTATAAACTTGAAAATGCCATAGAAATCATGTTTGCCAATTTATGTCCATGCCAAAAACTGAACAAATTGTATGTTGCAACTTTCAAATGACAACAAGTGAAGGCAGTGTCATTCATGACCTGTTTGATTGGATAAATTTTTACAACTTGGAGCCATTTTTTCTCCACTGCCTGTTTTTACTTGCGGTATATTGCATTTTATCATCCACTCTTACTGAATCTGAAATCACAGAATACTTGGGGGCTTTGTTGATTGTATCAACAACAATTTTGTCAATGTTATTACATCAATTTATTCATTCATGAGTTGTTTTCTTTACCATGTCATATTTCATAATATCATAAGTTATTGTTGTTATTATTTATTTGTTTATGGTGTGCATATTTTGTTGCATGTTTTCAGTGCGAAGATTCTTTTGGCTTATTATGAACCCTGCTGCTTGTTTAGTTTATTTTGTTCCGTGTCAAGTGTGTAATGCATGATACTGCAGACAAGCAGGTTTGTCATTTGTTTTTTTTTATTTCCCAATAAATGTTACTTTATTTAAATGTGATGTCACATGACTATGAAATGACATTAGATTTTCTATAAAAGTCACTCTTTTAAATGTCACCTGTTAGTCACATATTAAAGTTGTATATGGAAATTTAGGTTCATTTA